TCTCTCTCTTTCTTTCTTTTTCTTTCTTTCTTTCCTGAAGTAGATAACCAGCCCTTCTCTCATAGGGTGGCTTTGAACCACCAACCTTTGAACGACCTTTCAGTTAGCAGTGGAGCGCTTCACTGTTGCACCATCAAGGTTCCTATCTGTAAAATGGTTTGAGCCATATCACCTGACCCTCTCTGAGACAGTGGGTTTTGGAGTCATTGGATTGGTTTGAGTCCTGCTTCTTTCATTTACTTGAACAGATTCATGACCTTGAATGAGTAGTTTCAGCTCTGTGAGTCTCATTGTCTCAGTTCCCTTGCCTGTAGAATGGGAATGCTAAGTCACTTCTCATTGGCTATGGGGATCAAATGAGAAAATGCACGTAGAGCTAGAAGTAACATGGCATTTGGTCAATACTAAACACTCAGTCAATGCTAGCGGTGCTGATGATGCCGTTCATTGTTTTCTTATTAACTGTCTGTGTGGATGAGCAGGTAAGAGACACTCAGCAAACAAGCCCTTTGTTGGAGTGTGGCGCTGTGGGTTAATGCGCCAGACTGCAAAGCCGTTTGAAATGCAAAGTCGGCGGTTCAAGCTCACCAGCTGTTCCTCAGAAACCTGATACAGAGTCGCTATGGGTCAGAACCAACTTTATGGCACTTAACAACAACAACAACTGGCTCTCAGGGAGGGGGTCAGGGATAGGGCCTTTCCATGCAAGCATCAGTGGCAATGAGTGTTGAAAGTCACCCTTAGATCCAGAGAACTAGACCTGGCGGTCCTGGGGGTGGACTCCCCTGCCTGGTGCTCCCAGAGACTTGGTTTTCTCTCCTCCCCCACCACTTCACCCTTGACTCTAGCTATGTACCCCTGAGCAAAGGTGTGAGTCTCACTTTTCTGGACCTCACTGGACAAGTCTTCCAGCATGGAGCACTCCTCTGTCCCCTCCCCCCTCAACATCCACACCTTCAGCACCACTACGCCCACACATACACATGCGCATGCTCACATGCACATTCTCAAGCCCATGTGCTCCCCGACTGAGCTTCTGAGAGCCTCACATCCCTCCCCCACCTTCCCCACCACAGAAACCACAGGTAGCTGCAGGCTCCTGCAACACAGCAGACACAATGCAAAACCTAGGGCAGGGGGCTGTCAGGTTGTTCTCAGCATCTAGCAGGATGTGAGCCCAGGTGGCTAACGGTTCTCCCATGATTCTCCCCTGAATTGAGTGTGGAGAGTGTGCAAAGGAGGAGAAGGGATTCCACCTGGTGTCGAAGAGCAAAAGAGCGCCTCACAGACCCAGGGTGGCTTCACCATCTCCCAAGATTCTGTGTGTCCTTGGACAAGCCCCACCCCCTATTTGGAGCTCAGTTTTCGTGACTGTAAAATGGGGAAAACAGACAAGGTGAATGGTTATCCAAGGATACAGGGAGGATTTAATAGCATTGTCACTGTGGTTGTGCTCTGGAAAGTTTGAACACACATACACAAACCAAAACAAACTCGTTGCCATGGAGTTGATTCTGCCTCACGATGACTCCATATTGTTACAGGGTAGAACTGCTCCACAGGGTTTTCTTGGCTTTAATCTTTATAGAAACAGATAATCGGGCCCTTTTTACCCCATGGTGCCGAGCTGAGTGGGTTCAAACTGCCAATCTTTAGGGTAAAAATTGAGTGTCAACTGCTTTCTTCATTCAGTACAGGGAAGTCTGGGATAAGGTACCAGGCAGGGCTGCTCTAATAGGGCCAGATCTCCCCTCAGATCCCCATGACTCGCCTGTCACTTAACATAGAGCTGACTAGGTGGGTGATCAGGAGAAAAGGGCTCACACATGCTGACAGGCCATAAGCAGGCGCCTGTCCAGGCAGCCCTTCAGCTCCTCCCCTTGTCCTTCCCCCAGACTGCTTCTGTTACTCTGGTTTCCTGGACCCTGGGGTGGCAGTTAGCTATGAAAGGCCTCAGCCATCCTTCCTTCCTCTCTGTCTACAGGCACAGCAGACAGTCCCGAGGGAGCTCTAGGTCCTTTGGCCTGTGGTTGTAGCAAGGAAGCCATTGTAGGTCTGGGGACAGGTGGCCAGAGGAAGCTTCAAAGTCATGGAAAGACCAAGTCTGGGGCCAGTGTGGGTGGGAGCAGTTCTGGCTACATCCAGCAGGGGGTGCTAGGGTTGGGTTCTCCCAGGACCCTGAGCCCCTGGCAGGGAGAAGCACAGCTCTGTGGGTCTTACTGTTGGAGGGGGACAGCGGCAACAGGCTCTGCCAGGTGGGGCTGACTGGACTCATGGGAGGGAAGGGACGCCTATCCCGCGGTCTGTAGTTGGGAGTTGAGCGTGAGCTGGACAGGCCCAGGGGGTTCTCGTGAGGCCCAAAGCCCTGCCCCCATGGGCTTGGTCCTGGAGAAGAAAGCCGAGGGCGATAGTTTCCAGGCTGGTGGTGGCAGGTGGGGTCTCTGAGGGGAATGCAAAGCCTCTAGACACTCCAGCTGAGGATGGCAAGAGTGGAGGCTGCCAACGCGGCGGCCAGGGAGGCAGACTGCGGGGTCCCAGCAGCGGTCAGGGGTTCGGTGTGCCGCTGCAGCCAGCGGAACTCCTCCAGCAGTTGGCGCCTCTGGAGCTCTGGGCCCACCTTCTCACGGATGGTCTGGTAGTAGTGGTTCAGGTACTGAAGCTGCAAAGGGTAGGAAAGGTGAGGAGGGCCGCTCCGAGGTGAGCTGCCAAACAGGGAGGTCTGGGTGCTAACCTATCTCCTGCTGGAGTCCTTAAGCTGCCTACCTTGGCCCAGGTACCCATACGTCCCCAACCACAATCAGCCTCAGTCATTCTCTAGGACTTTCCAGAGACAAGGAGTTCCCCAGCAGGGCTCATAAGTGTTATAGGGACTTTCTTGGGAGGTGGGGTGGATTTCAGGCCCAGAAATAAGAAGAAGTAGGGCAGGAGATTCCATTTTACAGAAGATGGACTAAGGCCCAAGAGATAGACTGCTTAGAGTTCTAGAGGCCCCGGGCAAAAACTCCTCAGAACTTCACTACCTGGCGTTGGACAGGCGGTAGAGTTCCAGAAGCTCTGGAGTCTGTGGTGAGCTGGGAGCAGTGCCCCATTTTTGCCTACAGGTGCCACAACGGAAGGCCCTCCTGGAGGAGGGGAAGGGATGGAGGGTCTCCCATTGGGAGCAGGGACAGTGGGTGGAGGAGAGCAGAGGTGAGAAAGACCCAGGATGAGGGGAGAAGGCAGTGCTGAGGGGCACTCACCTGCTCTGGGGATAGCAAGCTGACATTGATGAGGTTGCGGTCATAGGGCACCAGGGATACCACTTCGAAGGTCAGGTAGGTTCCCGGGTACTGCAACCCCACAGGGAAGGTGAGAACACAGGGACATGAGGAAAGGGACGTTAGACTCAAAGGAAGGAGGGACCTGCTCCTTGTCAACCTGGGGGACTCAGGACGGGCTCAGACCTTCCAGAGGTCCCTCGGCCAATTCCCTGGTCTACCACTTAGCATCCCCCACCATTGGTGCATAGAGCCCTGGTGGTGCAGTGAGTTCAAAGCCCCTAGCCACTCCTCGGTAGAAAAATGTCTGCTCCCATAAAGATTTAGTCTCAGATCTCCTCTGGAGCAGTTTTACCCTGTTCTCCTGTAGTGGCACTGTCCTGGTGTGGCGTTGTGAGTTAATGCGCTGGATTGCAAGGTAGGTTTGAACTGCAAGGTTGACGGTTCAAACCCATCAGTTGCTCCTTGGAAACCCTATACAGGGTCTCTATGAGTCGGAATCAACTCAATGGCACTTAATAACAACAACATCATAGTGGCATTGTAGGATAAGCACTGGACTCCTAACCGCAAGGTGAGTGATTCAAACCACCAGCTGCTCCTTGGAAACCCTATACAGTGTTGCCATCAGTTGAAACAAGTTCCACAATACTTAACAACAAAAACAACATAGGGTAGCTATAAGCTGGAATTGATTTGGTGGCAGTGCATATAACTGGTACTTCCCTCCCTATCCCTGGAATTTAGACTTAGCTCTGTATTTCTCAAAGTGTGTAGCTTATCAGCAACTAAGGAATATGTTAAATGTGCAGATTCTTGGTCCACTCCCCAGATCTACTGGAATCTGAATTTCTAGACGAGGTCTGAGAACCTACATTTACATCATAAAAATAAAAAAAAAATTACATCTCTCTTTCTGGAGTTCCGGGGTAGTGCAGTCAACTTGCTCAGCTGCTAACAGAAAAGTTGGAGGTTCAAAACCACCCAGAAGTGCCTAGAAAGAATCATCTGGCAATCTACTTCTGAAAAATCAGCCACCCAAAGTCCTATGAAGTGCACTTCTACACTGAATCGCATGGGGTAACCACAAGTAGGAATCAAGCAGATAGTAACCTGCCTACCTGCCTGTCTAGCTACCTGATCTAGCTATGTATCCATTTAAAGAAGAAAAATAGCTCATAGTTTCCATTTCATTGTACGTGCTCAGATTAAACATTACAGGAAGATTCACAATGAAAATGGAAAGTCTTTAGCAGGCCTGAGTTTCCTTCCTGACAAACATTTGAGTCATATGTAGCATATATTTCTCTATATCTTTAAAATATACCCAAAATAGATCACACAAACTAGATCTACATGCATTTCTGTGCCTCCTCTCCAGCCCCACTTAAACAGTAAACTTAGGAGAATGCTCCATTGTAGTACAACCAGATGTCCCTCCTATTTTTAAGAGCTGCATAAGAGTGCAGAGCATGTGGCTAGACCATCAATTATTTAACCACTCATGCATATTTTGGCTGAGTCCAACTTTTAACTTTTACCATCATTGCTACAATCATCATTGTATAAGCATCTTGCTGAACTTTGGGGATTGTATCCATTAGGTACACACCTGGCAGAGGGATTACAGAGACAAAAGATGCAAGTGTTGTCAATAAGGTATTTTGTCCGGTTTTGTCAAACCCTCCAGAAACGTTGCACCAATTTATATTCCCCCCAAAGTATATGAGAGTGCCTGCTTCCCCCCCACACCCACACCCACATTCTGACGAGTACTATTGTTGTTGCTTAGTGCCGTTGAGTTGATTCGGACTCACAGTGACCCTTTATAGAGTTTCCGAGGCTGAATCCTTTTGGAAGCAGAACGCTTCGTCTTTCTCTCCTAGAGTGACTGGTGGGCTTAAACTGCTGACTTGTGGTTCACAGTCCAGTTGCTTATCCTTCAGAGGCACTGTGATCCCCCTCCCCAGCACTGACTATCGTTAAAATTTCTAATTTTTGCCCACTGGTTAGGTGAGACATGGTATTCTCTTGCTTTCATTTGCATCTCTTTATTCAAGAATGAAGTGTCTTGGTGTGCTGCTGCAGGATAAGCACAGGCCTGCTAACCACAAGGTTGGCAGTTCAAACCCACCAGTCACTCTTTAGAAACCCTATTTAGGATCACTTCAACGCAATGCCACTTAACCACTGAAACAACATTTTAAGAATGCAGTTAAGACCTTTTCATGTTTATGGACCATTCCTACTAATTTTTTTCAGTGAATTCTTCATGTCCTTTGCACATTTTTTCTGTTTTGTCTTTTTTTGTCTTACTGATTTGGAAATGCTGCTGGTAAAATAAGGACATTGACCCTTTAGCTGGCATCTTTTCACTCTGGTTATGACAGTTTTTTCCAAGCAGGAGTTTCCTCTTTTCCTTCATGGCTTCTGAGTCTGGCATGTTGTTGTTGTTAGGTGCCATCGAGTGGGTTCCAACTCATAGCGACCTTTATGCACAACAGAATGAAACACTGCCCAGGCGTGCACCAGCTTCACAAGCAATGCTACACTTGAGTCCACTATGACAATCTATCTTGTTGGGGGCCTTCCTCTGTTTCATTGACCCTCTATTTTACAAAGCATGATGTTCTTCTCCAGGGACTGGTCCCTTCTGATAACATGTCTGAAGTACGAGAGACAAAGTCTGGCCATCCTGACTTCTAAAGAGCGTTCTGGCTGTACCTCTTCCAAAACAGATTTGTTTGTTCTTCTGGCAGACTGTGGGACTTTCAATATTCTCCTCCGACACCATAACTCAAATGCATCAATTCTTCTACAGTCTTCCTTATTCATTGCCCAATTTTCACATGCATATGAGGTTATTGAAAATACCATAGGTTGGGTCGTGTGTACCTTAATCCTCAAACTGACCTCTTTTTCTCTTGAACCCTTTAAAGAGGTCTTGTGCAGCACATTTGCCTATTGCAATGTGTAGTTTAATTTCTTGACTGCTGCTTCCATGAATGTTGATAGTGAATCTAAGCACAACGAAGTCTTTGACAACTTCAGTCCTTTCTCTATGTATCATGATGCTATTTATTGGTACAGTGGTGAGGATTTTTGTTTTCTTTATATTGAGGTGCAACCCATACTGAAGGCTGTGATCTTAGATCTTCATCAGTAAGTATTTTAAGTCCTCTTTGCTTTCAGCAAGCAAGATTGTATCATCTGCATATCACAGGTTGTTAATGAGCATTCCTCCAATTCGGATGCCACATTTCTTCTACCTATAATCTATCTTCTTGAATGATTTGCTCAGCATACAAATCGAATAAATATGGTGAAATAATATAACGCTGGTGCACACTTTTCCTGATTCTAAACTATTCAGTGTCCCGTTGGTCGTTTGAATGACTGCTTCTTGGTCTATGTACATAATCCTCATGAGCACAATTAAGTGTTCCAGAATACTCATTCTCCACATCGTTGCCCATAGCTTGTTATGATCCACACAGTCGAAAGTCTTTGCATAGTCAATAAAGCACAGACAAACATCTATCTTGTATTCTCTGCTTACAGCCAAGATCTGTCTGACATCAGCAATGATATCCCTTGTTGCACATTCTTGCCTGAGTCTGACTCGAACATGTGGCAGTTCCCTGTCAATGCACTGTTGCAGATTACGAACAAGGAGAAGCAGACGACTCCCAAAGGTTTAGCCAATGAAAACCTCGTGAATAGCAGTGGAACACTGTCAGATAGCACCAGAACACTGAATTTTGAAACATGATGACTAGCACCAGAATCTTGTCAGATAGAGTGCCAGAAGATGTGTCCCTCAGGTTGGAAGGCACTGAAAATACGACTCTGGAAGAGCTGCCTCCTCAAAATAAGGTTGCCAGTGATAACATAAATGGAGTAAGCTTTTGGGATTTTCATTGCTGATGGGACATGACTCAAAATGAGGAGAAACAGCTGTAAACATTCATTAGTAATGGGAACATGGAATGTATGAAGTATGAATCTAGGAAAAATGAAAGCTGTCAAAAATTAAAAGACCTGGGGACTTTTGAACCCTGAGTCAGTGACATAGCCACAGAGGACTAGAGTGGAGAGTGAAGCATCCAGTTGATAAGAAGAGAGGACATGTGCACAAAAACACCCACACTTCCAGATAATACCCACTCGACCTGGCATCAATGACTGGATGATCAGAGCTCAACTAGAAGAAGAAAGAAGAGGGGAAAAAAAGAATAATCTAATACAATTTGATGAACTTGACCTACACCTATGGATGCAGTAGCTCAAAAGAGGGAACAAATCTTTATACCAAGGATC